GACCTTTCCCCAACACACCGCCCCCAGTGACATGGCTGGGGCCGGGGCAAGGAAAGCAGAGCAGGCTGGGGCCGTGTCGCTCTGCTTCCCGCCGCAGGTGAGTGCGGGGGACGTCCTTTCCCCAACCTCCCCGCACTCACCGGCAGCGGAAGTGGAGTGCCATGGCTAGGAGGTGGCGGAGTGGAGCGGGCTGGGGCCACATTGCTCCACTTCCCGCCGCTGCCGGTGAGTGCCTCTCAGGGGCCAGGGGGTGTGGATAGGGGTCGGAGCAGTCAGGGGACAGGGAGCAGGGGGGTTGGGTAGGGGGGGGGGTCCTGAGGGTGATTAGGGACAGGGGTCTCTGGAGGGGGCAGTCAGGGAACAAGGAACGGGGGGGGGCCAAACAGGGGCAGCTCTTTGTGTTTTGCCACCCCAAGCACGGCAGTGAGGCAGGCTTCGGCGGCATGCCTGCGGGAGGTCTACCAGTCCTGCGCCTTCGACATACCCGCCATCGAATTGCCGCCGAAACAGCGGGACCGACGGACCTCCCGAAGGCATGCCACCGAAGGCAGCCTGACTGCCGCCCTCATGGCGACCGGCAGGCCACTCCCCGCGGCTTGCCACCCCAGGCACGCGCTTGGTGTGCTGGTGCCTGGAGCCACCCCTGGGGCCAAAGCAAGTTCGATATAATGCGGTGAGATTTTTTTGTCTCCCGAGGACAGCATTATATCGGGGTAGAGGTGTAATTCCAAATGAAATATGATTTTGACCATATTACTAGCAGCCCACATTACCCATAAGCGAATAGAGAGGCTGAGAGAGCTGTACATACAGCCGAGAAAATCCTACAGCAGGAAAATCCATTCCTTGTTCTTCTGAACTACTGATCAACACCAATAACACCTAACGGGTCTAGTCCAGCACAATTTCTGATGGGAAGACAACTCAGAACTAATGAACTGACTTAGGTTATTTTCCAGTCTCCAAAGTGGCCAGACATGGAGAAAGTAACCAAATCAGATAAAAAGGCTAAAAGATGTTGCACTTTTACAACAGACATCATCACTTAGAGAACTGCCGGATATAGAACCTGGTGACCGTGTTTATGTTGGAATAGGATGGACAACTCCAGCTGTTGTAAAGAAAAAGAATTCATCTCCCAGATCATATGTGATCGAGACCAACAGCGGAGAGTTCAGCAGAAACTGTTGACATCTATAGTTTGTTCTTCAAAAAGAAAACAAACCATCAACACAGCAAACTCTACAGCTGGCAGATGCAGAACAAGAAGACAACCAATGCTTCAAACCAACCACAGCCAGTCGTTGCAACTAATAGACAGCCAGATGACCAAATTTTTACACGTTTGGGTCATGTAATGAGTGTGACAAAGTGGTTTTTTTTCCAGAATATTTTGTATGTATAGTGTGTGTGTCTCAGTTTCCCCTATGCACTGCATGATTAACTAAGGGGAGGGGAAAAGGTGTTTTCTTTGCAGAACAATCCAGAAATGCAGGTGGGGTCCCCCATAAATCCTAAACAGAAGAGACCTTGCCACACCCACACCCTCCCCCTTTTACTTGGTGTAAAATAATGCGGATGTTGGACATTCAGAAGCTGGGCTGGTTTTAAACTATCTCCCACCACTGACAGTAACTCTTCTCCTTTGCTAAAACGGGGACACAGACTGCTGTTCCACACGCTGAGCTAATCCCACTGAGACGAACAGAGAGGCCGAGATGGGTTAGTTTATATTGCATTTCTGTAGCACCTTTCAGCCAAACAGCTCAAAGCACTTTTCCAAGGGGAGTAAGCATTAGTTCCTGTAGTGGGGCTGCGGTCATCCCTCCCCTTCTGGGTCAGAGGCAGACCACCCCGCCTCACTACGTCATGGGATCACTGCCTAGTCTCAGGGGAATTAGCAGCGCAGGCATAAGTGTCATGATCGCCTTAATGGGCGAAACCCCAGCCAGTCTATAAGCTCCAGCCCTCAGGCCAGGGAAGAGCAACAGAGGCCCAGGCCCTCAAACAGGGCAGGGCACCAAACGGTCTAAGACTCCAGCCCTAAGACAGGGCAGAGCAGTGAATAGTCTAGTGTCCTAGCTTTGGCGGATGGTAGGCTAACACTGGCCACCTGGCCTACAGTGGGGAGGCTGCCACCCCAGGGGTGGGGTGGCAGTGGGTAGGCGGACCTGGGCCCATCCGACTCCACCAGGTCCTAGCCCAGGGCCCTAACAGTGGCGGAGTGTTCCGCCACTGGCACAGTGGGGAATCTGCTGCAACACACTGGCCATGTTTCAGGCAGCACTACAGCCAGACTGGAGTTGGCTGCCCCTGGGCTACTTCCTACCCTCCCTTCTGGATCAGTGGCTGTCCTCCATCTCCCCTGGGGTAGGTGGCCAGCAGCAGTCCCAACAGCTCCCCTGTGGACACAGGTTCCTCCAGGAGCAGGGCGTTTCTTGGCTGTGCAGCGAAGTCAGCAACCTGGAGAGAGCAGTATGCATCTGTCTCCCCCCCAATTGAGCTGGATGCTTCGCCTTATATACTTCCTGTCCTGCCTATCCACTTCTGATGAGAGTGGTGAGATGGGTCTGGCTCCGCCGACTTGGACACAGAGGGTGGTTCCTCCCCTTCTGGGTCAGAGGGAGGCCACACCACCTCAAACTCAGTGTTGCCAGCTCTGATGATACATTCTTAAAGCCCCAGCTCCTGGAATCATGTGATTCACAGCTTTCATTTAAAAACAAAAACAAAAAAAAACTGACAAAGTAAATTTCTAACCCTCATGGTTACTGAGATAATAATCAAAAACAGGAACCCTGAAGGCTCAAAAAGCAAAATAAAATAAAATAAAACCCCAAGGTTTACTATTTTTGAGCCAATCTCATGGTTTTGGGGGACTGATTCATGGTATGTGAACACTTGGGGTTGGCAGTGCTAGTCTCCCACAATTGCAGATGGGAAAACTGACACACAGAGAGGCAGAGTTATTTGCCTGAGAATACAGAATCAGTGGCAAAGCCAGGAATAGAATCCAAAGCTCCCGCCACTCTGGTTTACCTCCCCAGACCATGTTGCTTGTGATGGACAAACCAACCACCAAGAGATGATGGAAAGGGCAGAAGTGTAAGTCAAGACAAGAAAATGAGGATTAAAAATAACAAAATGGCTTTCTCCCCTCCCCCCAAGAAGAAAATGTTACAAACGGATACCACGTTTGGCCTTAGAAACTAAACTATTTCTTGTACCATTTTAATTGTATTGCCTTTCAATTAATGGAGCACGGCCTTGTTCTTAACAATACAGGGCTGCCCTGGGCTGCCGTTCAGCAACAATTTACCAAATGTAGTTCAAAGTCTGCAGTTAAAATCGTTTCCCACTTCACCGCCTTTGGGCTATGCTGGCTTTGCGCTAAAGGAGCAACTGCATCATCCCCAAGCTGTGAAGTTCCTGTAAACCAGAGCCCTGAGCTGTAGCCGGGAAAGGGGGTTAGCACAATAGGCACCAGTGGCAGGGGACAATGTAAACTGAGCACAGCTTAAATGAAGTTAGCAAAACCCAACTGGTCCCTCGATGGCTGTTACCAGAGCTGTGCCTGGGGCAAAGGCTGGACTAGCCAGGGTTGTTACAAGACAAGGCTGGGGTGAGCAAATAGTTTACGGACTTTGCCTATCCTGGCTCTGGTTTCTGCAGAGGTCAGGACTGAAGGAGCAGGGAGGGTGTATGTGGGATGGAGAGACATTGACAGAGCTGCAGGGGGTGGGAATAGGTTATCGAGCACCTGCCCGTATGATGAATTTTGTCTGTGGCATCAATCCCTCCTTTCAAATACGAAAGATTTACTCCAGTTATTTAAAGACACATCTCTGAGGGTGTCAGAAATGAGGGTGCAGGGGTGACAAGGGAGGCAGCAATGCAAATTAAAAACGCTCCTCGTGGCTTTATTGGATCCCGCTGGCAAAATAGGAAACATTACAAATATCTGACTTCATGTGCCAAGGCCAACTGGAAACGCATGGAGAGATTCACAGATGCACATTCCTGCTGATCCTTTATTCCATGCACTGAGCTGCCCTGGAAAAGGTGGTAGGAGCATGGGGGGAAGGAAAGACAGACAAGCTGCATTTGTCTCCCAGGTAAGGGGCTCCTTTAAAGGGAGTGGAAAGAACAGAGGCAAAGTGCTTTTAAGGGGAGGGATGCGGGGGAGCAAGAAGGGACTAGAGAACGCTCCATCGTGCTTCGGCTGATGAAACTTTCCAACCTCTTATGTATGACTGGCAGAGTCGCCCCAGCCACAGGCATCCTGGATTGCTGCAGGAGTTCAGTCAACAGGTGATGTGGAGCTGGCCTAGCCGCAGCATTTGCTGGGCTGCAGCGCGCTAGTCTCCAGAGGAGACCAAGCGCCTGCCCTGGAGTAGTCACAGGAGACAATTCAGGCAGAAGCAAAAGGGCAGATCAGCTCCTTGCAGCTGTTCAGGAACAGAGCCACCAACAAAGGGCTGGGCAGGGGATTTCAGGGTCTTTCACTGTTAAAGTAGCCTCCAGCCGGCAGGCCTGGGTATTCTCCGGAGGCGTGTGTGTTACACGGCGGCACGGCCCATGGGTTTGGATGCCTTTGTTATGGGAACTCCGAGCTGAAGCTGGTCTCAAGGTGGAGGTCTCGTTAGCAGATGCAGAAGCCACCAAGCTCCCATCCACCATTGCTCTGGGGACGGATCCTGGGGTGGGGCTCCTGGAAGCACAAGGGCTTGTGGGCAGGATGGAGGAGGGGCGGGCAGGAGGCTCCACAGCAAGAGAGCTGGACGGGGGGCGGGAGGGCAGTAGCCAGGAAGAGTGGGAAGAGCAGTCGTCAGTTTCAGCTGCAGGGGTCTGAGAAGGGAGGAGAGCCCAGTCCAACCTCTGCCCAGGCTGTGTCTGCGGCTCTGTGCAGCGAGGGGCTTCCCCAGCGGAGGAACCGCATCCACCAGACTCTCCGACGAGTTGCAGCGCAATCAGCCGGCTCCTTCCACACTCGCTGCGGTCCTCCCAGCTCCTCAGCTGAGAGTTTTCATCATGGCGTGGGCCTGTCTCAGCTCTGAAAGTGGAGGAGGAGACGCAAACAGACAATGGGGGCAGAGTGACCTGGATCTCAGCAGGGGCGCTGCAGCCAGTTCCCAATTCACCGGTCACAGCAGGGCAGAGAATAACCTCTGCGCTGTGAGCAGGAACAGAGAAATGACACGACATGGAGACAGCCGATCTCTGCCCCGGCCAGTAGGGAGAGCAACGGGGACACAGGAGAGGAAGCACCAGCTGGCAGGGCGGGGATGAGGCGAGCGATTCCAAGCTGCCCGTCTGTCATCTACTCACCTGCCAGTAAGACCCGGAACTTCTCTGCCGACATGGTCATGGCAAAGGGCTCCGTCACGCCTCGGTCCCTGTCGCGCACGGTGAACTTCAGGTGCACAAGGGGCTCATTGACCTGCTGGAGCTCGCTGGAGCTGAGCGTGTGATCCACCCTCCAGGACACAGAGTCCAGACGGTTCACTGAGGACAGAGGCAGAGCCAGTCTCAGGTTTGCGCTGTCAGTGTAAAACACTCTCTCTATGCACAAGCCGGCGATATGGATTTGGGAAGCATTTTTCAAAAGCATTAAGCAGCTTCACCCACCCCTGAAACGCAGCCACCTCTGGTGTGTGCAACACAGCAACTGTCTTACTGGCCCACAGCGACAATGTAAGACATTACAGGAAGGAAATGTCTCCAGTTGAAATAACAAGGGAGTTTAGGTCAGTGGAGTGGAGCCCTCTGAGATGGGGTGTGGCTGGGATAACGCAGCTAACACCCCTCGTTGCGAAGATTCCCATGAGTCCAAACGGTTAGCACCGCCTCAGCTCTGTCTCTCTTTATGGCCAAGAAAGATAACGCAGAAGGCAG